TTCACTGGCGTATAGGAGGTTGAGAGGTGACCTGAAAGACGTTTATAAAATAATGAGAGGTAGAGATAGAGTTAATGGTAATTGTCTTTTCCCTAGGATGGGCGATTTCAAAACTAGGGGCACATTTTTAAAGTGAGAGGAGACAGATTTTAAAAAGACATGAGGGGCAACTTTTTTACACAGAGGGTGGTTCGCGTGTAGAAGGAACTTCCTAAGGAAGTGGTAGATGTGGGTATAATTACAATGTTTAAAGGATGTTTGAAGAAGTACATGAATTGGAAAGGTTTTGGAGGGAAATGAGCCAGGAGCAGGCAGGTGGGACTAGTTTAGTTTGGGATTATGTTCAGCATGAACTGATTGGACCAAATGATCTGTTTCTGTGCTGTATGATGCAATGACTCTAAATGCTGCCTTTATGTCAAGGACAGTCACCCTCACCTCTTGAATTCTCCTCTTTTGCTTGGATCAAGCCTGTTTTGAGATTAGGAGCTAACTGGCCTTGGTAGAGATCCAAACTAAACACCACTGAGCAGGTTATTGCTGTGTAAGTGCTGCTTGATTGCACTTTCGATAACATTTTCCATCACTTTGCTGATATTTGCAAATAGATTGAATGGTCATAATTGGCCAAAATGAATTTATGCTGCTATGTAGACAGGAAGCAGCTGGGCATTTTTCCATGTTGTGGGTTAGATGCCAATGGCAATTGGAACATCTTGGTTTGGGGTATGGGTAATTCTGGACTACAAATCTTTAGTACTACTGTTGGGATGTTTTCAAGAACTAAGTCATTACTGTACCAAATGGCTTCAGCCATTTCTTGATATCCTGTTGAGTGAACTGAATTGGCTGATGACATGCATCTGTGATGCTGGGGATCTCAGAAGGAGACTCAAATTGAACACTTAGCACTTCTTGCCGATGATGCATATATTTCAGTCTTATCTTTGCACTATGTGTTGCACTCTTCAACCATTGAAAACGGGGATATTTGTGGACCCTCCTCTTCCAGTTAGGTATTAAATTATCCAGCAGGATTTATGACTAGATGTGGCTGGACTTCAGAGCTGAATCTGTTCAGTTGGTTGAGGGATCTCTTAGATTTGCCTATTGCATGCAACTGACTATTAGGCATGCATGCTGTAGGCAATATATTTTTATTGCAACTCTTTCAGCCTTTCTTAAAATATTTTGACTCATTGAGACCTGCCTATTTTTTCTGTTTCTTATTAAAAATTGAAAACAAAACTTTTTCTAGTCATGGATTTTTAAATAGGGCTGCACACTGAATGATGATTAAACAAGTTGAAATTCAAAGAGTTTTCAGGACTTTCTTTGGGCCTCACTTGTTCACATTGAATTATGGGCACTTTTGCTGTCCTATTCTTTTAAAGTTCATATCAATTTCAGCTATATTTTGCAAGGGGCTCAGGATTTCAAATTTACTTACATAGAAACGTAGAAGATAGGTGCAGGAGTATGTGATTTGACCCCTCAAGCCTGTTCTGCCATTCAGTATGATCATGGCTGATCAGTGAGTTCAAAACCCGAATCCCACCCTTCCCTTATATCCCTTCATCCCTTTAGCACAAGAGCCAAATCTACCTACTTCTTGAAAACACAATATTTTGGCCTCAACCACTTTCTGTGGTGGTGAATTCCACAGATTCACCATTCCCTGGGTGAAGACATTTCTCCTCATCTCCAACCTAAAAGGTTTATACCTTATACTTACACTATGAAACCTGATTCTGGACTTGACCACCAACAGAACCATCCTTCCTGCAAATAACCTGACTAGTCCTGTTAGAATTTTGTAGGTTTCTATGAGATCTCCATTCATTCTTCTAAACTCCAGTGAATATAATCCTAACTGATGCAATTTCTCCTCATATGTTGGTGCTGCCATCCCATGAATCCGTTTGGTAAACATTCGCTGCACACTGCACACCATCTGTAGCAAGGACATCCTTCCTCAGATAAGGAGAACAATACTGCATATATTATTCCAAGTGAGGCCTCACTAATGCCCTCTACAACTGCAGTAAGACATTCTTTTTTCTGTACTCGAATTCTCTTACTATGCAGGCCACCATAAAGTTTCCTTTTGTTACTGCCTGCTGCACGTGGGCACTTATTTTTGAAAGAAAATGCTCTCATTGAACTCAGGTCTCATTGAACATCCCCTCTCTCAATTTACAGCCATTCAAATAATAATCTGCCTTCCTATTTTGCCACCAAAGTGGATAACCTCACATTTATCCACATTATAACGAATTTACCATGCATTTGCCCACTCACTCAGCCTGTCCAAATCACCCTGCAACATCTGTGCATCATCCTCACAGCTCAACATTCCACCCAACTTGGTGTCATCTGCAAATTTTGAGATATTAGATTTTGTTCCCTCATCTAAATTATTAAGATTTATTCTGAATGTTTGGGGTCCTAGTACCCATCCCTACTGACCCCACTAGCCACTGCCTGCAATTTAGACTGGGCCTGGAATTTTATCCCTTGGCTCATTCTTAAAATGTTTTCTTGGGGAGATTATCTTCTGGCCCCTTCTGAGGAGCCAAGAAACGTGAAACAAGCTATGAAACAAAAGCAGAGTGCGTTGGCTAGATTAAGCAACAGATCCTTCAGTGAAGTATTTTGCGTTCTTCACGCCTTTGTTCAATCTTCAGGAGGATTGGAAAGTAGGGTAGAACCTCCCGTTTTTTTTCAATAACTAGAGTTCAGCTTTTGGGGTTGACATCTCAAAGTAACTGACACGAAATGGACATAATTTGACAAAAGCGTCTCACACCTTCCTCCCCAACCTTTCTCTCCCGCTTATCAGGTTTGTATTTCGATTCCAACTCTCAACATTTCGCTTACTTTTATCTTCTTTTAATCCACACGTAGCATGTACTTGCTATTTAAGCAGCTCGCGAAGTGACAAAAAGAAAAAAAGGTTCAACTACATACACAGCTTTTGGACACTTGGAATAATTTGGTGCCACATTAGTGTTTGACCACTCGCTCGACTTGGGACTTTTCTCCCTCAAAAGCCAGGTTTGTTTGGAAACCGTGCGGGATCTCGGTAAATAAAGCCTGCGAATTTATACTGGAGGAAAATAACTCAATTAATTTTCTCCAACAGGACTGAGTTTGCCGGTGGTTGTGGGTCCATTCCGAGTGTGAGGTGTTCACAGGTCGTGAAGATGGAGTAGACAGAGAAGCAGATTTCCCCCTGGACCGTGTACGTCTCTCTGTTTGCCGCAGCTTCTTGCTGCTGGGGCTCGGAATTCAGTTCGGGAGTTACATTATTTCGGGTCAACGGCGTTCATCCTTTTTTTTGAAATGTAAGGCTCCAGCGGCCACATCCTGAGCTGGATCGGCCAGGCTACACGTCCCCACGTCGACAGCTCCGAGCTTTGCCCGCCAAAGTCCCTTCAAATAGCGGCGACCCTTCAGGTATGGAAAACACTCTTGGGTTTTCCTCAATTATAGTGACCCGTCCGACGCACAGATTTTCTTTACCTTTTTTAAAAAAAAACGCACAATGACTGACTATCACGCAGGTAACTTGTTCTGACTTCTATTAGTTTGTTGCCAGACACTTAAAATCAGCGGATTGTTTGAAAACCATCATCGATAAATATATGCGAGCGCGCATTGCTGTTTATTTTATTTAAAGTTTGTGGTCGCTGTGTGTTGACTGGATTGTGTGTGCGTTAGCAACAACAGCAGCAACAGCTGCATTACACGCGATCTCAGGCTTCGCAGCAGCGATCTTATCCTCTGCAAACAAGGCACGTCACATAATAAGAGGAATTTATTTTAAATTATTTAAAAAAGAAAAGATATGGTCGCGATACGGTCGGCATCGCTCGTCTGGAGGTTTGCCGCTGGCTGGGCTGCGGCTCCCAGCAGTTCGCTGCCGGGAGTGAACCTCGCGTGTCCGCGAGCTGCTCGTCTCCATACAATGAGGATGCCACCAGGCGCTGCATTTTCCGACAGGAATCTCCCCCTCTGTCCCAGTACATTCAGACCTTCGGTAAACAGGCCACCACATTTTATGCATGCTGCAATTATCGGGGCACGACGTTTGTTTTGTGTTCTGCGTTCACCCTGATGCGTGATAGCCTAAACAAAAATATACACTGGCGACGCTGTGCAATTTGTTCCGCGTTAAGTGGAAGGGGGCGAACAGGTTGGTTTTCTCATCTCACGGCAGTGCCTTGTTTGTGTGGTATTGCCTTGCTACAAGTGTCCTTGTGAAGTTTCAGATGTGACAGAAGTTGACAGGCTCACTGAAAGTAATTGATACAAAGAAACTGCCACCTCCGTTACTGCTCGGAACATGAAGAGTTTATTAATTGTTTCTGAAAACAGATCAAATTCAACTTTGAAACTGAGTTTCAATCTTAAGGAATCCGCTACTCACCTGAGAATCGTTAGCCTCACGCTGACTTGTCAGATTCCCTACTTTAAAAACACTAAAGATATAACTCTCTCAATTCATAAACCTTATCACAAATACAGATGCTAAACTGATTGCAAATTCCTTTGAACTTTTTTTTCTGAAATGACAAAAACATCTAATTGTTAAAGAAACAATGTTACTTTACTGGGGTGTTTCCCTGGAAACAGGGAAAAAACGGCTTTTCTTCCTTAGAGGAATTTTGTCCATTTAAATTAATTTAAATTCAAAGACCAATTTATAATTTACAGTGATTTACCTCAATGTGCTAATTTAAGATTAAATCTTATACTTATTGAAACAAACAGGGAGATTGTTATATGAAGTAGCCATTTTGAACAGAAGTGTCTTTCAAGGTGCATTATCAGATGACGATGCTCCTTTAAAGCTGCCATACCCACACTGTAAATAACTGTGCTCTTTTTGTCCTAGTGGTAGAAGTTGTGGCTGTGAGGAATGCCCTTAACAAATCCCTGTCATGGCCCTTGGAATTATCTACTCACCTGTCTTCACCTGGTGCCTGCTTTTCGTCATGCTCTGCTTTCCCTGTTCTGTGTCCCAGCCCCAAAAAGACACCACCGATGGGCCTGAGTCATGGCCCACAGTCACTGGTGCTGCACCGACCTCTGAATATTCATACCCTGATTACAGGGGTAAAGGCTGCATGGATGAGAATGGTTTTGTGTATGAAATTGGAGAGGAGTTCACACCAGGTCCTGCTGCCTGCCCGTGTGTCTGCACTGAAGATGGTCCACTGTGTGTCAAACCTGAGTGCCCTAGTCTGCATCCTCGGTGTATTCGAGTGGACACCAGCCGTTGTTGCCCTGAATGCAAGGAAATGAAAAATTACTGTGAATTTCGGGAAAAGAAATATAAACAATTGGAGGAATTTGTGGTAAGAAAAAGCTCCCACTTTCAACTGTTATTTTGAATTTTGACCATTTAATCATAAAATGCTTTTCCTGTTATACGCTACATTTGTTCCTCTTCACTTCTGCATTTAAAATTCTGTAATCTTAAATTCTCTATTCATTGTTCCCCCAAATTTTTCAATTTGTTTTCTGTAAGGGATATCTAAAACTGAAGTAAGGGTTTCGGCCAGTATTTGGAACCTTTCACAAGTAGCCATTACTCATGTATGAACTTTGATCATGAGTGCTACAGGGCTAATCAATTAAAGAATACGTTGTAGCTGACACTATATATTTTCAATCAACATCCCAACATGTGCTATCCAGGGATGTCATGGGGTAGTGATGAATCCTGGGTGATGATTTCGTTTGATTTGATAGAAGCAAAAATGCCATTTGCTTTGTGCCTATTATTGCACCATTTTAGCACATTACTGTATATGAACATCCATAAAGAAATTCCATAAATCAAATGAACCAATAATGACAGTCAGTTTTCCTCCTAAAACAGGAACAGAAACTGGGAATAAAATATGCATAATTAACAGAAATTTTTGTCAGTATGAACGGTTTAGTTTCTGTATTTTATAAATATGTTTACATGTTTTAATAAAGCATTCTTTTACTATAATCATTACTTGAATTTCAATATTTTATTGTGATACCATCTGTACATATTATCAAAAGGAATCATATTGTGCCCTCTGTTTGATTTGCTAATCTTACTGTTATAACAGGGTTTTTTTCTGGCTCAAGATGGGAGCAGTTAACAAATGTACATTAAGGTTTGATTCAAAACGGCAACTCATCCAAGATTTTTTAAGCCGTTTCATGGGATCTGCCTATTGTTAGCAAAGGAAGCCTTTGTTTTTCATCTCTTAAATGCTCATGAACTGAGTGCCTTGCTTGATTATTTCAGAGGGTAGTTGAATCACCCACATTACAATGGATCTGGAGTCACATATTGGCCTCACAGGAAAAGATGGCACATTTCATTCCTTAAAGGACATCAGTGAACCGCATGGATCTTTATGACAAGCAATAATAGTTTCATAGCATTGCTGAGACTAAGTTCCAGTAGTTGTTGTGGTGTAATTTCAAACCATGTCTTAGCTTGAAGCTCTGAATTGTTAAGCCAATAATATTACAACTGCTCCACTATTGCCCCCAAGATGTGAATAAGCAGACAAAAATAATTTTAGGTGCTGATTACTCTATCACTTAATTTATCAATTACAAAGTGTCATAGTAGATGTGGGATATATGAATGCTTGGTTGTTGAGCGTTTTGCACTTCTATTGTCTCCTCTTGGATTTCTTCTGAGTATTTCATAGAGTGGAAATCATAGAAATGTTAAGACAGAAGGAGACCATTCAGCCCATTGTGTCAGCACTGGCTGTTCAAATGAGCATCATTGCCTACTGCTAATTTCCTGCTTTCTCCCCACAGCTTTGCACGTTATTTTGATCAATATGTTCATTTGGTATGTTCTTAGATGCCTCAATTGAACTTGCCTCCGCCACAATTCTGGGCAGTGCCATATCCTAATTACCTGCTAAGTGAAAAAAGTTCTGTAACATAAAATTTGCTATTTTCCAAATCACATTAAATCAGTGCCTTTTGGTTTTTTGATTCTTTTACAAGAGGGAACAGTTTCTCCCTGTCTACCATATCAAACCTGTTCATGATTCTGAAAACCTCTATCAGATCTCCTGTTATCCTTCTCTCCAAGGAGAATGGTCCCAACTTGAAACTATGCTCCTAACTGAAGTTGCTCATCCTGGAAACAATCTTGTAAATTGCTTCTGCATGCCCTGCAATGTATTCACATCCTTCTTATAATGAAGTGACCAGAACTGCATATAATACTCCAGTTGAGGTCTAAGAAGTGTCTTATACAAGTTCAACATCACCTCCTTATAGAATCCCTACAGTGTGGAAACAAGATGTACGGCCCAACAAGTCCACGCTGACCCTCAGGGCATTCCACCCAGAACCATCCCCCTAATCTAGGCATCCCTGAACACTACGGGCAATTTAGCATGGCCAATCCACCTAGCCTGCACATCTTTGGACTGTGGGAGGAAACCGGAGCACCCGGAGGAAACCCACGCAGACATGGGGAGAATGTGCAAACTCCACATAGACAGTCGCCCAAGGCTGGAATCGAACCCAGGTTCCTGGCATTGTGAGGCAGCAGTGCTAATGTGCACCTCCTTGCTCTTGTACAAATGTTCCTGATCATAAAGCCAAACATACTTTATGTTTTATTAATTGCTGTCTGATCTGTACATGTATACAGTTGGGTCCCTTTGCTCCAGCACCCCCTTTACAATTGTAACCCCTATTTGGTATTATCTTTCAAAGTTCTTCATGCCAAAATGCATCACTTCATACTTTTCTTCATTAAGTCCAACCTAGCACCTATCCGCCAATCTGCAACTTGACTGTGTTCTTTTAGAGTCCTATACTTTCCTCATTATGGTTTACAATTCTTCCAAGTCTTATATCATCTGCAAACTTTGAAGTGTCACCTGCACACCAAGATCTAGATCATTAATGTATGTGAGGAAAAGCAGGGATCCCAATATCAACCCCTGGAGCAATCCACTATAAACCTTCCTTCAGCCTGAAAAATGTCTATTTACCATTACTCTGTTTTACTATCATTCAGCCAATTTTATATCCACATTACTATTGTGTCTTTTATTCCATGACCCATAACCTTCCTCACGTGTCTGGTGTGACATTGTATCAAATGCCTTCTAGAAATCCATATACATCACATCAACAGAGTTACCGTCATCAAGCCTTGCTGTTACCTCAAAAGCTCCAAGTTAGGTAAACATGTCTTCCTCTTTGGAAATCCATGCTGACTGTTCCTAGTTAGCCCACTTTTTTCTCTGTTACTAATAATTCTATCCTGAATAATTGTTCTAGGTGCTTCCTCACCACTGAAGTTAAACTGATAAATATGTAATTGCTGGGCTTCTCCTTACAACCTTTCATGAATAAGGCCGTAATATTTGCAATTTTCTAGCCTTCTGAGATCTCCCCAAGCTTAAGGAAGGCTGAAAGACTGTGGCCAGTGCCCCTGCAATCTCCACTCTCCATTTAGGATTTGAACTTCCAAATCTAAATTCCTCTTAAGTAACAAGGGTTCAAAGCCACTGTGTTGTTGGTGACATACAGTTATTTAAAACATGATATTTTCTTAAAAGTTACACCACTTGCTGCCACTGAGAAAATTCATACCAATGAAGGGTCTAGGCCCGAAACGTCAGCCTCTCTGCTCCTATGATGCTGCTTGACCTGCTGTGTTCATCCAGCCCTGCACCTTGTTGTCCTACTATCTCTCATACCAATGGCTGTTGACTTTGTTCGTAACAAATAGGTTAAATGTTTTGTAAAACATCTGGTTTCATGTGACATGTGCATCAATTTTATGTGGTTGTTGGCTTCTGTTTTATGCATAATCATGCAAAGAGTTTAGGCTCAAGAAGCGTATGCCTGGCAAAAAAAGTGTCTGCATTGTGTGTCACTGCCAATAGTGTAGATTTGACTGTGAATGATGTGGTCAATGAACATCTTCCTGCTGTGGCCAAAGCTGGAAAGAAATTGAAGTTAAAGTCCATAGTTGTTCATCTATCAAGTAGAGCCTGGCAAGATATCAGCCTCTATTTTGAGGGCCTCTGTAAAACAAGTCTTCAATGTCACTTTCAGGTATCAAGTCTATTCATCTATACTTGTCGCTAGTTATTGAACTGGAATTAGATAATTGGAAAACCTGTGAAGATATCTTTGAGCTTAGAGATCTTTGAGGTTTATGCAGAGCAATATATTGGGCTAATGAGCTTTTGTAATGGGAATTATTCTGTACTCAAGCTGAACAATGAAGCAATGTATGCTACATGTCTGCTAATGAAGCACTTTGCTAAAAGAAAGTAGATTATACGTGCATTACTCAGCTAATAGCACAGTAACAGATGTAGGTTACATTATCCAAAATACATTATGCACAAGTTTCCTGAATCATTTTTCATCCTGGTTTGAAGTCCATTGCCAAGGATAGGGTTGGGTTTGTTGTAGAAATGGAAAACTACGAATGTTCTCCCTATATCAGAGTTTTGCTAGGAACACTGTAACAGCATTTAGCTTCAAGTCTGGCACATCTCTTCATTAAAACCGTTTACCTGAGGACCTGAGTTAATCAGCTGTTGATGCCTAAGGTTTATCAGTAACAGATCAGATACCTCAATGTGGAGACTCTTCCACCGTGCTACAAGCCATTTCCATCAAATGATTGAAGAAACTTTGAACCACTACTGTTGGAAGGTATTTCCTACTTATATAAAAATGTAATCACATAATTAGGGTTCAGACCTCAACTTTATTAAATTGCTCCAAGACAAGAAGCTGCTATTGAATCTCTAGTTGGTGGAATAAGTGTTCCCTGGAGTAGAGTGATTGTTCATTCTGTAGTCAATAGTTGCTGGAAATTCATTTGTAAACTAAGCATCTCATGTTCATGAGTTGGTCTTGCAATTCCCTTAGCAAAGGTTGGATCTATGTTTTGTCCGTTGTCTAATAACTAACTCAAAACTAGTCTCATCAGAAGATTTCCTTGGCTCAAATCAATTTCTACTGAACTAGCCTGCTGAGAGAGGCAGTTTGGTGAACCATGGCAGATTCAGTATTTTGATAGATGAGATAACTCTTCAAACCATTGCTTGAACGGGTAAGATGGCCCTGAGAGGTCATACTGTAGGAAACTTACCATTGACATTCTTGGTCAATCATACAATTCTAGAGCTGTACACATTTAGGTGACCCAAGCCTTACGTTTTGAAATGTTGCACTTTCATTCTTTCTGCTGTCTAAATAGTTAATGTCTCTGAGGAAAATATAACTTATTGGGCAAGCATAAACCTGACTCACAATCCATACTCTGCACTTTGATTTGGAGATTGATAAAGATATAGGT